GTATTGACTCATCAGTAGCATTTACAACATGTGGTGAAACAATAGGTAAAACATCAGGTTGGTCAACACAAAGTAATGATACAAAGTGATCAAACCACTGATTACATGAGATAGATGAGGGAAGACTGTTACACATTCTATGTCGTTTCAATAAGTTCCCAAATTGGCTTGACTCACTGCTGGAATCCACCAGTTTCTTTCTCTGCTTACACTGATAATTCCCCTTTTTGGAGATGAACGTCTTTTTAAATAGGTTTTACAATTGTCGAAATATAAGTCCTGACTATTGTCTCTATGCGCACGTAGTGCAGAATATTTATCGTGTTTTAGTTGTTCCAGCTCTGCATCTCACCAGGGGGCTGTGATCTGTCCCTGTGTTTATCAAAGCTACGATACACAGTTCTAGTATGGGAAGCAGTTTGTTGTACGGATGGAATATACGATTCCCTCCAAGACATGCACAAAACATTAAACAAAACATGCTCGAAAACGAACACACTAGTATGATAGGACGACCGAAGTAAAAATGCAGAACAATTACATACATACATGCAAGCAAGCAAGCAAGCAAGCAAGCAAGCAAGCAAGCAAGCAAGCAAGCAAGCACGCAAGCAAGCAAGCAAGCAAGCACGCACGCACGCACATCCATACATACATACATACATAAATGTACTAACAATTACGCATTCCTATAGAGGGGCCATTAGAGACGAAAGTATCATGGAAGAAAACAAGCTCATATTCGAAGGCCTCACACAATGGTTAGACAAAAAATGAGAACCAGACGCACTCCTAAAACGAACACCAGTACTTGTCACAAGCATTCGTCACAACTCGCCCCTTTCCGTAACCTCCAAGAAGACGTCTCGATGTGCGAAAATACGACAAACCAATCACAACGCGCGCACTGACTACGGTGCTTTGGAAAAAAATAATCCTGAGTACTAAAAAACGTTTATGGCATTAAGTCATTGTCTAAAAAATCCTGAAAAATATATGTCGTCACATTGAATGTACACAGAACTTAGCAAACACATAATTCTGTTGCCTCTCGTGAAGTTGTGAATAAGGATAATACCATGGATGGGGAGAGACTGAGATACTAACGTGAGTTTGTTCACATTCGTTTTGCTCTCACTCGTTCAGTTGAGTGTATTTCCGGGCTTGCTTTGGAGATTGTACGTGCGCTTCTAACATTTTTAGGACATATCATTATAAATCACAACGAGGTTTAAAACAATACTATAAAATCTATACCCATCCCCGGCCGAAGCCCGACAAGTCCTGAAATATGGACCATTCACCACATCAGCCAAACTAACCCACAGAAACTTCAACAGGTCTATATCCCCGATCACAGTACAGACAGCACCTCCCAGTCCTGATCAGGTACTCGACGCTCAAGACCAACACTGTAACCCAGCACCTGAACTGGAAAGAAGAGCATCAAGGACAAACTACAGACATATCTATCAAACATTACAAGCAAGAAATTTAGAAATACAGTTATTAGATTTAGACTTGGCTTGACAGATATAATGATCATTACTGGCCGTAACAAGTCACTAGCCAAACATCTCAGATTTTGCCCTGTCTGTATGGCGGATATCGAAGACGAATATCATCTGTTATTTATATGTGACGCTTATGCCGATTTAAGAAAGGAGTACATTCCACAAAAAGATCTGGGTCACCCTACAAGGGAAACACTTATAAGAATTTTATCATCAAAAGACGAATCTGTCCATGTAAAATTAGCCATGTTTTTAACACATTCCCTGTCTTTAAGGAAGAGTTTAATTTCTCCTGTCAACTAATCTAACAATGTTATGATGCTTTCCACTGTTTGCAATGTCCATACCTTGCCTGTCATTACAATACTATGTATACGGGCCAGAGGCCTTATGTACAATAAACCATCTTGATCTTGATCTTGATCTTGACAAACTACAGATCCTAGATCCACACCAGACAAAACCCATTGGGCCACCCTAAAAGCGCCCCAAAAAGCAAAAATACGCCCGAAGAACGTGTAGACGTGCTTTCATAAAAGTTTGGCGAAGCTTTACATACCAATTATTATCCATATAGTGGAACATAGGTCGTGTCGTATTTTAAATATGTGCACTAGTCCACATATCACTTTTGTCTAGCAACCATTGTTTCTGTATTTCGTCGTCGGTGACGTCATTAAACAATTGGACGTGACGTCAATGAAGAGGGCCGTCACTCTTGCTTACTGTGTTTTACTGCACAAAAGTACATAAAAATATGGATAATATAGAAATGATTACACTCTCAAGTGTGTCATACGATATATACGAAACTCTCGGGCAATACAAAATATGAATAAATTGTACGACACACTTGCTCGTGTAATAATCTCTATATCTAACACATTTTAAACTATCATTTCAGACTCTAAAACACTACGATGCCAACCGACAGTCGACATTGCTACTCTTAACTCAAGCTATGCCCAGAGAGTACCTGAAGACCTACGATGGGAAACATGGACACCGGATTATAATGTATTATAATGTATGAAACTGTATGTATATGGGCCCGTTGGCCTTTGTACGGAAGTAAAGTGTTGATTGATTGATACAACGATCTACCAAATGAGATGTAAGCAGTGCAGCTACAACAGACAACTATTAGACTACGTATGTAATTCATCATAAGTTGCAGCTGTATCTGTGGACAACCCGAAACTGACCACTGCGACAACGTGTACAGTGTGTTATCGATAATCTAAATATATTATACTCAATTTTTAGCCTCGGGAAATTACCCTCTTTAGGAAAAGAACAAACTGAAAAATGTTTTACTGGATAAACATGTGTGTGTTTCAATGGATATACGTTTATTAGTGATCATTTATGATCAGCCAGAGGTAGATCTAGGGTTTAGCAATAGGATAATTGTGTGCCAAAAAGCTCTTATAGGGATAGAAAATAAGAATGGTGCGTAGATTTGTCTATAAACGACACTGTGATAGCTATATTTACCTGTAATACTGCCAGTTTTCTTTTAATTATGATAAACACTTTGACAATAATAACACCAAGAGTAAATGCAACAAAAACATTTGATTAAATCACATTCCACAATCGTAAGATCTTCCTTCTTAAACCAGAATTCATTGTACGATTTCGACTATATCAGGAACCGAGTATACTTATAAATATAGGAACACATGAAAATTCAAGTGTTCCTTTAATATTTCCCAGTTTTCATCACTGAAGCCCACAAGCCCACCAATCCAGTCTAATCTTCAACACATACTTCATCGACAGTGTCGTCTGCTACTGGAGCAGGCAAGCTGTCAGCGTGGACCATGGGCAGTACAAATTTGTGAAAGAGCTGTTTCACAAGTAGGCATAAAGAAGAAGGAACAACAAACGACTATATCACAGCCTAAACATGAAATGAAAGAAAAGGACAGAAGAGAAGAAAGGGGTCATTCTCCTACGGTTGGGAAAGAACCAGTTCAATCAACGTTCCTTGGCGCAATGACTTCTAAAGTGGGATGTTCCCTTTCTCCGAGTCACAGACGTCTAGTATTTGTACTGTTGAGAAGGGTATCAATGGACTTCATAGCGTATGACAGTTCAAGAAATACATTGGAAATGTGTTTGCATTTGAGAATTGGTAATGCTATCAATGTGCAGCTGGATTCCTCCAAGTGTCATGTCTACGTCCTGGTGAGGAATAAACTAGATCTTCTCCGATTTCGGATAGCACACGCGATTGTGCAAAAAGGTTTTTGCTTTTGTTGTTGACTGGACGAAGAAAGAAATTTATTTGATGAAGTTTGCTAGTGCTGTCTCTGGATGACCTGAAGGAACGGATCATAGCAGAACAAACAGACAGAAAGTTTCGCACTCTGTGGTATGATGCAGGCATCAGGAGCTTGTACTGGTGGTCACGATCCGGCCTGAAAACATACAACCTCAACACCAACACAAAGATGTTGCAAAATTCCAGCAACATCACGGCGAGGAACACCAGAAATGGGCTTCACACCAGTCAACAACAAAAGCAAAAGCTAAAGTTATAGACTTGATGGAACTCGATAAGCAATTGCGTGTCGAAATGTTGGCAAGAGATATGGCTTCCTTTACTTAGTCAACTCAAGAACTCGATTGTGATTTGGATCAGGTCACATACGACTAAATGGTTCATTATCGTAATGTATGAAATATTATCTTTGCAAGAACAATATCTACCACAAATATATCAAGCAACGTCACGACTTAAGATAACTTCCAAACGTATTTAGAAGTATTCAAATATTATTGCAAGAAATCCAATGATTGGAAGTTCTATTTTAAAGTTTGTTATTGAAAATTGCTTTTGATATTTGTACCACTGAAAACAATTCTGTGGGGGATGGTGAGTCATTTTGCATTGATAGGAATTCTCTGACCAGAATTGGTGCATGGTTAGAGTGAAGTTTCAAAAGTCTTTGTCTAGTTATTAGAGTTACAAGACAGCCTATGACAAAAAAAATCGACAATATTTTTCAGCCAACTTTTAAGACGATATTTATCATGATACTATAATGCTGTTGAGTGGATAAATTGTCAACACAATATTTTTGGAAACTGTTTTTTAAAGGTTTTCAAGTCAGTATAGGATAGATTACTAATGTATGAGGTAATTTAAGTTAATCATCTGATGTAAACAATTTTACACTTAGAATGTCAAGATATTTAACTCTGAATGAAGAGATGTGGATTTTGTTAGATCCACAAAAGAAGTTTGCAAAGAAAGTTGGATATATAGAACGTTTAATAGGATATGTTGGGGATACATTGATGTACATCGTCAACCTAAAATTATATGAACTTGTTAATTTTGCTTCTTTTGATATTAACATATCTACACCTTGCAAATTGATATTTATTCTTCTATGTTCATGCCCTATTGTTATCAAGAGTACAATATCACTTAGAAAGTTCCTGATTTTTCCCTTAATTTCTATATTTACAGCATTCCATTGGGGCAGTGTTGGAAAAACTGAAGATGACTAACTGATCTTGACCTGCAACAGGTATGTGTAATCCAAACCCTTCAGTAAATGATGTACATAAAATTATCCAAATAATGTAAATCCTATGAATCAGAAAAATACAAAAAAAATTACACAACCACTATATTCGTAACTTCCAACTGGAAATATTTTCCACTTATACACATCTCCTTTCAGAAGCAGTTTGTCGGTTTTGAACGAACAAGAGGGTTCGTTCACCTAGAAGACAAAGAAGTGGGAAAGCAGAGGCCTTTGTCCGCAAAGAACAACAAAAGATTCATATGTGTAAGTAAATTCCAACCGTACACAGGTTAAAATATAAGGAAAACCTTATTTGAAATAAAATCAAGTTAATGTAATTTCTTGAAAATGAACTTTCAAAATAAACACTGCAATGTATAATTAGAAATATGCAGCTAAAAGAATTTTAAATAGTACATAGTAAAGCGCCAATGTACATTATGTTTTGGTCTGGACATATTTCACCTTGCACACATCAATTAACAATTTATTAACAATACCCCACTAAATAGTAGCTGCAAACACATTGTCAATAGCAGTATGAGATTTTAGTTATGGAGGTCCGCCTATGACCCCATTCAATTTCTTGTCTGCCAGAATGACCCCACATTATTTTTTTTTTAAACCCAAATATTTCTTTTCACATTATTTTCAGAATAATGGATAATTCGTAGTTCTATACATATAATATCAAAGCATAATGCATGTCACATTCAGAAAATGAGTTATAGCTTTCACGTGAGAATTTCTCGGAAATATAGGCAATGATAGCATGAATTTAGTGTGCATTTCTAAGAAATGTTATTAATTCAATGTCAATGTTTTCTATAAGTCACAACTGTTATTTAGTGAAAGAAAATCTTTTTTGTCAGTCATCACATGTCCAACCCAAGCTAAGGAAATACGTCCTTCTCTCGCTTGTCTCTCTACTCTTACAAATGTCATTAAGTTCTTGTGCGATTGAAACTTTTGTCACTTTTCAGGTCAAATGATCAGTTTTGATTTATTGAACTTCGTGCTTATTGGACAGTGGTTACAGTTTTTTTATCCTCAAGCTTAAGGAACATTTCTTTCTCCAGCTAGCTATATTGTTGACGAATGCTTGTTTGTACTGATTGTTTATTGTTTTCTAACTTTCAGAAGCTGGAAAGCAGGAGTAAGGTCCTGACAACGATTGATTGGCCGGAGAAGAAACAGAAAGTTCTTCCTCTCTTGGGGAAAGAGTTAACACTTCTCAAAATGGAAAACCAAATAATATGGATTCATCTACATTGATGAGTTTAAGAAAACATCCCATACTCACTGCTATTTACTCCCTTATTGAAAAACATTCGCTCGTTGCATGGAATGTCTTTCCTGGCAGTGAGACGGGAAACCATTGTCACAGTCAACCGAGTTCCTGGAGCAGTGAAGGTCACTTTATACAAGAGAGGACATACGGATGCATCCTATATCACAGACGTTCAGTTACATGGCATTCAAGTGATTGTTGTGTGAGGGCTTTGATATCTTTCAAAACATTGATTGACACACAATGATTGTGCTAAATCTAACTGATTTGACCCACACAAAACCAGTAAGGTAGGCAGTTGGTAAAAGGCTTTTTTCATTATGCTAAATACCTGTTTTCGATTGCTCTCATATGTGAACGTCATTTCTGGCGTCCAGGACGTTTAATTGGAGTACATGCTTTAAAACACTCTCATACAGAGGCAGTAGCCCATCAAACGTATCATAGAAGAATCACAGCCCAGTTTATAATGCTTCACAATGGAAGTGTTGGTATAAACCGGTGAGGAATTCGCTCAGTATGCTAGCCACTTTGGTTTGTAGAAGTAACGACCCCACAGAAAGTTCAAAATGTCTAATATATGCAGATATGAGTTTAAACAATATCACTGAAAAATATATTTCTGCTTTTCGGAATATGCCTTTTCTGATGACCATGGGTGCAGGTCGTTGTCACATTTCTTGTATACACCAATATATATTGTGGAAAATACCTACATCAGTTTCAGATGTGAAAGTGTCTGAATTAATGAGTGTGATAATCAGTTGGATCTTGACATCAATAGTTGAGCAAAAAAAATATTTCACACTATGTATATATACTTCTCATGATTTGGTTGTAGTCACTTGTAGCTTGATAAAAATGTAAGAATCAACATCGAAACGTTGTTCTTTGTAATAAAGAAGAAGTTGACCTCCATAAAGTTGTTTGTTTCATAGATGGTCGTTTGAATATTTTGTACCAAAAGGTAAGAACTTAAAAACAACTGAAATTATACATTTTTTTGTTTTTATATTATGTAACTGGCATAAACACTACAGATCATTACAGACACCTCTCTGTACTCGACAATGTATCTGATTTACACATTCAAGTTTTAGCTGGTCCTCTCTTATAGACAAAAATTTCGAGAATTCCGGTAACACCAAACATGTTTCTAGTGTCATTTTGTTTTTGGTCTTAGCCTTGTTATATTCTGTCCTTGTTCTTATCTTCACAACTGGGTGATAGTGTTCTGAAAGGTCCTTTTAGACAATGGCAACGACAATAGCAACATTTCAAACAAGAACAACATTCCACAATCAAAAGGAAACTCTTCTTAAAACAGAATCCATTATACGATATCAGGAAAAAAAGTATATTTACAGGGGTCATCATTTTAAAATATTTGAAGAAGTTTCGTGTATCATGAATATCAGATGTGCTACAATGATGAATTGCTTTATGCTTGACATATCTATGAGCTCTAGACGACACTGTGAATATTTAAGGAAAAATTAATGTCAGTGGATCAGTTTATGGTAGTGAACTTATAACAGAATGGATTTTCTTTTGCCAACAGACAGTAGCATCAATTTGTTTCATGATACTGCAGTGCAATATTGATGAAGAATTTCTATTTGAAGCATTTCATTGGTCACCTGATATTTACTACCCCAGGAAAAGTAAAGATTTTCCCATTCGAACCGATCAGTTTTCAACTCTTGAAAAAAACGCTTTAATTTATTGCCAGACTATGAGTATCAGTTCATTTGGTCTGCCTTCTGTTATCAATCAGTGACACGATTTGTGTTCTTCACAAATTCTTCAAGACGATGTTGCTTTGGTTGGGGTTACTATTCCTTGTATCATGTACCATGTATTCTAATACTGTTGAATCCACAAGCCCGCCGGCCCAGTTTAATCTTCAAAGCACACTTCATCGACAGTGTCGTCTGCTGCTGGAGCCGGCAAGCTGTCAGCGTGGACCATGGGCAGTACTAATTTGTGCAAGAGCTGTTTCACAAGTAGGCATAAAGAAGAAGGAACAACAAACGACTATATCACAGCCTAAACATGAACTGAAAGAAAAGGACAGAAGAGAAGAAAGGAGTCATTCTCCTACGGTTGGGAAAGAACCAGTTCAATCAACGTTCCTTGGCGCAATGACTTCTAAAGTGGGATGTTCCCTTTCTCCGAGTCACAAACGTCTAGTATTTGTACTGTTGAGACGGGCATCAATGGACTTCATTGCGTATGAGAGTTCAAGAAATACATTTGACAAGTTTTTGCGTTTGAGAATTGGTAATGCTGTCAATGTGCAGCTGGATTCCTCCAAGTGTCATGTCTATGTCTTGGAGAAAGGTAAAAAAAATCTAAATGAATATGGGATAAAAAGCGAAAAAGCAGTTTTCAAAGAAGTATTGTACAAACATGTTTTCGCTTTCGTTGCTGACAGCACAAAGAAGAAAATGTATATTATGAACAATGTCTATCCTCGGCGTTTGCTAATCCTGTCTCTAGATGATCGGAAGAAACGAATTATAGCCAAGCAAACCAACAGTCTTGTTCGCATTCTGTTATATGACGCACATATCGGGAGCTTGTACTGGTGGTCGCTATCCCATCTGACGCGTTACAACCTCAACACCAGCACACAAACGTCCCTGAATGACCTCGGGACAATATGTAAGAGTTGCATTGCAGTTGACTCAGGAAAAATATACTTCTTCACCAAAGTCTTCAGCATGTATGACGTAATCACCAATACTGTCCACCACCTGAAGAACATTCACCCTTTGAATGGAATGTATTCCCTGGCAGTGAGACGGGAAACCATTGTCATACTCAGCCGTGTTTCTAGAACAGTTAATGTCACTTTGTACAAGAGAGGACACAAAGATGCATCCTTTATCAGAAACGTTTACTTATCTGGCATTCAAGTGTTTGTTGTCTGAGGACCTGTTACATGGCATCCAAGTGATCGTTGTGTGATGGCCTGTAACATGGCATTCAAGTGATTGTTGTGTGAGGGCCTGTTACTTGGAATTCAAGTGATTGTTGTGTGAGGGCCTGTTACTTGGAATTCAAGTGATTGTTGTGTGAGGGCCTGTTACATGGGGTTCAAGTGATTGTTGTGTGAGGGCTTTGATATATTTGGATCTCTACATAGGCAGTTGAGCCAATGAAATATTAGATATAACTGATTGATGAACATATTTCTTTCACTGAAAGGTTAGAACTAGATACAACTTCAATCACACATTTGTTGTTTGTATATTTTGCAACTGATAAAAATAAAAATCAGTATACATTTTGTTCTTGCTTTTCCGCACTCGAAAATGGGTGTGATGTAATAATCTTCATCGCTCAAAATGAACGCCTTATTGTCAGACGATGGGTGTCAGCTTTTTGGACTGCAATCCGTTATCTCCCATCCGCACAGACCGCCGTCCTATAGATGGGATATTGCGGCGTTAAGCAACAATCAATCAGTCTTCCTGTGACACGATTTTTATTGGTCTCAAAATTCTCCAAGACGATGTTGCGTTGGTTGGAGCTCCTATTCCCTGTATGATGTACCATGTGTCCATTTGTTGTTTTCAGCAGACTTATATTTTCCTCCAAATCTATCAGGGATTAAGTTAAAAATGACAGAGAGGGAAACATTGAGATAAATCGTTTATGTATTATGTGTCTAGCGGTGTATACATATGTATGATGTAGTCCGTCCGGAGAGGGGAAGGTCGCGGGTTCGATCCCCGACCGCGTCATACCAAAAGACGTTAAAATATGGTACTTGTTGGTCCCTGCCTGGCGCTCGGCATTAATGGGTACAAAGGCTGGTCGGCTCGGAGTCAGTATAATGTTTCTGAGTGGGGTATTCATGCTTCACTGTGGCATGGTATCTCAGTTGGCTAGCACTATATTTTTGCAAAATATACATGATAAAAGAAACATAAAATACTGGACAGCGATTTTTCATCGTGGATCACAGTGTTTTCCCGTCCTGTGTGTAATAAATAGATCACAAAACTCGTGGATGTTGCTATACGTCAAATTATATATCCGGAAACAGTAATCAGTTGTGTCAAAGTGGTACGCTTATAGTTATGATTATTTTAGATACATATGTAGTAAACACTGGAACTAAAATAACACAGTATTGGAATATATTATTCCTTTTATCAAAGTAGTTGCAGATACATGCTTGCCATTGTGTTGAACGTCTTTGGTTTATATTGTTGCAATAATAATTTCGTCGAAATTAAATAAATATAACAAGAATAAATGAAATTTTGAAAATATTTTATTTTAATAGATTCCAAACATAACCCCAATATACGACGAACAAGTATATTACAAGTAGTATGTTGTGTGATGACATGATTAGATAATACAGACCACATGATACTCGGCCCTTTATCGGTGGCGGGGGACACCAGAAATAGTCTTCACACATTGTACCCATGTGGGGAATCGAACCCGGGTCTTCGGTGTGACGAGCTAACACTTTAAACACTAGGCTACCCTACCGCCCCTACGGGGTGATGAATTGCACAAGACATATCGTCAAGGGTGGTTGTTGAGGCAATGCTCGGTGTGACGAGCGAACGCTTAATCAGAAGGCTATACCAACGACCTTTTTACTCAAAGTGACAGAAGTTTTTGTAAAGTATTTCACTTACATCGATTTTGCACTATTTTGTTTGGGTGGTGGGGTAGGGGGATAACATATCATCTCATAGAAACACAGAACAAATCAGTGATTAGAAAATGATATATATCCTCGAATGTATATGTCTGTATATGTGAGACTGATCGTATATTTGTTAGTGCGTGCGTGAGTGCGTGTGTGTTGATCGACTAAATAATAATATTAATTATTATAGCACATTGACTTTTTTAAATAATAATAACCTCATAACTATATATTAATTATAGATCTTTGAAATGAAGAGATAATGCCATGTGACATTCACGAGATATAAAAGTACTCCTTGTCCTGGCTTATTTATTCAGTAGTGAAAAC